GGGCTCCCCCCGCCGCCAGCCCATTGTCGCCCAGGAAGAGGACGCGCAGGCCCGGCTGGGGCGCCAGCAGGCGGTCACCGAGGGCGCGCAGTCTGTTGCCCTCAAGGTGCAGCCGCTCCAGACAAACGGGGCCGCTGAGGAGGTCGGGGGGCAGGGTCTCCAGCTGGTTCTCCCGGAGGTCCAGGGTGCGCAGGGCCGTGACGTTGACCAGCAGCCCCGGGGGCAGTGCGCGCAGGAGGTTGCCGGACAGGTCCAGATACTGCAGCGCTTCCAGGCCCTGCAGCCAGGCGGCCTCCAGGACTTCCAGCAGGTTCTCCTTCAGCACCAGGGTGTCCAAGGCGGCCGAGGCCCGGAAGAGCCCCGGCGGCAGCCGGGTCAGGGCGTTGCGGGTGAGGTCCATCAACCTGAGCTGGGGCGCGGGCAGCAGCAGCCCCGCGGAGAGCTTCTCCAGCCGGTTGGTGGAGAGGTGCAGTTCGCGGAGCTGAGGGGTGCCCTGGAGGGCCCCGGCCGGCAGCTGGGTCAGGTTGGAGAACTCCACCGACAGGTAGGAGGTGTTGGCTGGCAGGTGGCTGGGGAACTGGGCCGGCTGGTAGCATACCACGAAGGTGTCGTTTTCTGAATGGGACACCCTGCAGGCTTCGGGGCTAGGGGTGACCCCCCGGGCTGGGACCAGGAACAGCAGCAGCAGGCACAAGGTTCTAGAAAGACAGGGCTCCAGGCCCCTTGGGCTGCAGGCAACGACACAAGGAGCTCACTCAGCCGGTCCAAATATGCACATGACTCCCTGGCTAAGGGGGCCCAGCTGGCGCGGTGGTTAGGGCTCTGGACTCCCACATGGCCGACTGCCGTTGGAGTCCGGGACCTGGAGGCTTGCTTTCTCACTTTCTCTCTCTCTCTCTCTCTCTTTCTCTCTCTCTCTCTCTTTCTCTGATCTGTCTCTCTCTGGTCAAATTAAAATAAGTAAATAAATAATGATTTTATTTATTTATTTTGAAAGAGAGCTGGGTCCCACGTGGCTGACCGTGGTTCGAATCCCAGCCCAGGGGCTTGAAAGGCACGCCCGAGGCGTGTGTGCATGAGCTCCTCACAACCCCAGGGGGTGTAGAATGGAGGAGCAGGGACTGCGGCGCGCCCGTGCCCACGGTGGGGGGGCTTTCTTCCCCTCCCTCTCTCTTTTTCTGCCTCTGGTGAATATACACACTGGCAATTAAAAACAGCAAAGTAAAACGGCAAGCCCGGTCAGGTGAGAACTCGCCGAGTCGGCCCGCTTCTCCCCAGCACCCCCTCCTGGACCGGGCCGCGTCCTTCCTCGCCCGGGACCACCGCAGTCACCCCTCCTCTCCTGGTCTGTGCTGCTGTCCCCCCTCCCAGCTCCCAGGAAGGCCCGTTGTAGGGATTTTTTGTTGCCGTTTTTTAAGTTTTTGCTATAGGGCACACGCACTCCCCAGAGCCGGACAGAGGGAGGGAAAGTGAGAAATCACCCGCCAGAGGGGATGGCCACGCCAACCCCGTCTCCTCCGTTCTCCTCTCTGGATCCTGGGAGCACACACGCATGCCTGGGGTGATTTTCAAGACACTGGGTGCAGGGCTCGAACTAGAGTCAACTGCGTGAGAACCCAAGGCCTTAGCCACCACACTTGCTGCTGGTCCTTTACAAACATTTTAGCCCGTGGAAGCTTCAGGCTGCGCGCTCCCGGGCCCACTTCCAGCCCGGCTCTTCTTTGCAGACCAGCTTGCTAGCTGCTCCTGGTCTGCGTTGTTCTCTGAGTGAGCTCTCCTCCCTCTAGCTCTGTTTGGAAGGCAGAGCCAAAGGACTCCTACCCATCCTGCAAAGCCCCAGCCTCAGTGCCCTCCTTCCCAGGAAGCCATCTCAGTCCTTCCTAAGTGCTCTCAGCTCCTGCTCTGGTCTCTTCCTCTTTCCATCCAGCCCTGATTAGACCGGGGTAGGTTATCTGTGTCCGGCTCTGTCACCCTCCAACCGCTCAGGAACAAGGGGACTCTGGACATGAACACAGTGTCCTGCTTCGGGCAGGTCTGGGGGGGTCAGCATTTGGCCTAGGGATGGGGTAGCTTATAGTCCCGCAGGTCTGGGGGGCCCTCCTGGCCTTTGTCAGTGGGGCTGTGGCCTCCGACGGGCTCCCTCCCACCTCCCGTCTGGCCCAGGCAGTGCACAGGGGTCGGCCGGGCCACGGTTCCCGCTGGCCTGCTCCTGTGGTGCCAGTGGTCGGGCAGGCCTGTGGCTCTCAGCACGGGGCGCTGGGCCTGCCTGGATAGCAGGGGCTGCGGGCGGGGGGGGCCTACCTCTGGGCTCGTCCACTCCAGGAGAACATGGTGGCCCTCCTCTCCCCTCTGGGTTCCCTGGCCTGGGGAGACGGCCTTATACTGCCTGGGCCTGGGGGAAGTCCCCACCCCACGCTGTCCCTGATAGGGGCGGAGGCGGACGGCGGAAGGGGGCAGAGTTGCAAGACCGCTTCCCAGCAATTGCTTCTTGCCGCCCCCTCTGGCCCTACTTCTGAGCCCTGTCTGCCCTTCCCTCGCTTCCTGCTTTTTGTGGGGCACCCAAGAGTCTCCCTAGCCGAGTCCCCACTTCCCAAATCCAGGACCCAGCGGTCAAGGTCGCAGGTGCCATCGGCTCCTGGGGGATGGGGACAGCTTTCTGAGCAAGCTTTCTATTTACCGTAAATTGCACAACAGGAAGCCCACGGAGCACAAAAGCACTGTCTCGGACTCACAGCATAGTGTTACCTCGTTTATTTATTTAACAGAGTTAGGGGCTGGCAGGCGGCGTGGTGGTTAAGGGCGCCGGACTCCCACATGGCTGACTGCAGTTTGAGTCCTGGGCTTTCTCACTTTCGCTCTCTTTTGCTCTCTCTCTGTCACTCTCTGGTCAAATGAAAATAAATAAAGTTAAATAAAATAATTATTTTTTAAAATATTTTATTTGATTTGATTTATTCATTTATTTTAATTTGACCAGGCAGAGAGAGAGAGAGAAAGTGGGAAAGCAAGCCACCAGGGCTGAGACTCGAACCATGGCATGGTCAGCCATGTGGGAGTGTCTAGCGCCTTAACCACCATGCCACCTGCTGGTCCCCAATAAAATAATTTTGAAAATAAAAACAGAGTTGAACAGTGAGTGACGCCAAAGTCTCTGCGGTCTTTGAACAACGACTTAGGAAGAGCCACCCCTGGCGCTGAATTCTAGCACTGCCGAGGACCACTCTGCCTTGCGAGCGCTTAAGCAAGTGTTTAGCTTTTCCTGGCCTCAGTTTCCCCGTCTGTGAAGCCAAATGCAATCTCTGAGGGCCCTTCTGCCCTTCCTTTCTTCATCTGAAGCTGATATGCTATTCACTTTGGATTTTTCTTGTTTCCTAATAAACTCATTGGAGGCTACCAATTTCCCTCAGAGAACTGCTTTGGCTGCATCCTGTGGGTCTGGCTATGTAGTGTTTTCATTCTTTCTGAGGCAGAAATATTTAAGTATGATGGGTCACAGAAAAAAAATACTTAAGTTAGAGCCTGTATACGGGAGGGGGCACCTCCACAGGGCCTCGTTATGCCATGACCCCCTTTCCGCAGCTGTCCAGCTTGCCGGGATCTTGTGCACAAACACACATGTGCAATACGTTTCAGGCCCACCAGGCTGGGGATCCAGACCTGGGTCAGCCACGTGGCCTCCAGCACTACAGTGCAGACACTCCCGACGACACCCCCAGGCTGGATTTTGCGCACTGGTTTTACCCACAATCAGAGCTGCTGACATGACTAGCCACGGCCCCTCCTCTCAGCAGTCTCTGGTGGGCTTTGGACCTGTTTTGCTTCCTTTCTCCACATTTTCAAAACCAGCTCTGGTTTTGATTTTCATTGTCAGAGCGTGTGTGTGCTCACCAGAGAGACAAAGAAAGGGGGGAGAGCAGCCCCCAGTGAGGCATGCTCACGCCGCGACCCCTTCTCGTCCGTTGCTCTGTCTTGTCGGAACGTAGGCACACGCATTTTCATTTTCTTTTTTTTTTTTTTGGAGAGGTTTTTGCTATAGGGCGCGTGCGCTCGCCAGAAAGACAGAGAGAGACAGAGAGACAGAAAGCGAGAAATCACCCCCCAAGGGGGATGGTCACGCCGCAATCCCTTCTCCTCCATTCTCCTCCCGGGATCTTGGGCACGCACGCACACGCGCCCGGCGTGAGTTTAAGCCACCAGGTCCGGGACTTGAACCGCAGTCAACTATGTAGGAGTCCATCGACATAGCCATTATGCTAACTGCTGGTCCCAGATTTTGTTTTTTAAAGTTTAGTTCCTCCACAAGCAAGAGGCAGAGAGAGAGAGACACAGAGAGAGAGAGACACAGAGAGAGAGAGATAGAGCTCTCTGCAGGGCCCTGATGCCATGAGCCCCCCCAGCCCAGCCTGGATTGTGGGCACACACATTCCGGGCACGAGCAGGGAAGCCCTCAGTGTGAACCGGAACCTTCCCAAGTGAGCCAGCCTCACGGGGTGGTGCCGCTCTGCCCACCCGGCTTCCTGTTTGGTGTTGACCCATGCAGTCCCCAGCCGGCCGAGGACACAGCAGACCCAGAGTCTGGGGGCCGGTGGTTGTAAACAGAGTTTATTGATGGGGAGGGGCTGGGAGAGGCAGACTCCACAGAGGGGCCCCCAGCTGGCCACGTGGCATGCACAGTCAGCTGGGGGCAAAGGGGGTCACGGGGAGCACAGGTGTGGGACTGTCTGACCACCCTGGGCGTATTTACAGGGGCCCCCAGGCCCCCAGCCCTTTGCACAGCTACGGGTGACTCCCGGGCAGGCTCTCCCCCTCCCTGCCCTGAACCCCGGCCACGCCCTCCCTTCCCTCCGGGGAGGGGGCTCAAACTCCTAACCAGCACCTCGGAGGCCCCCCGGCCTTCTGGAAGCCCCGGCATGGCTCAGCCAACGCCCAGGCCGCTGGGGCCGCCATGCTCACTTCACACACACGCCGGGGCGCCCACCCCTCGCACACGCACGCGCAGCCCCGCAGGCACGCACACACACCTCCCTCCCCGGCCCCTCACACACGGACACAGCATGCACACGCACACACACCCACACACGCCAGGGGCCCGGCTGGAGGGAGGGCCTTTGGGGGGGACTTGGGTCTGCAGCTGCGGTCCCCCT